TCACTTGATTAAACTACTGTTGTTCTCTGATGTAGCTTGACCTTAAAGCCATACTGAGTCACAGTAAAATAATTCAAAATTCAGCTGTCTGCCTGCTTATCAAGCAATGAGAGAGGGTTATGCAGGTGCTCTGCAGTTTGCACTGGGTGTCAGTTCCAAGTGAGTTTTGGAGTATTGTAAACTTGCCTTATTATGGTTTGTACTCTGCCTAAATGTGGGGCAATCTCCCTTCTTGGGCAGTATTGCAGCTGTTGTGATCTGCAGAGGCACTCAAGCTATTAGTCCCTTGGGTGGGGGAAAAAAGGGGTGGGGAGGGCTGGCAGAAGTCTACTTTCCATAACTGCTCCCGTTGATCTCAAATAGCCTGAATTTGTTGTCAGGATAAGAGACTCCTCTGTTTATGAGGTTTGTGATGAGGAAGCACAGTGATCAGTGAGGGAGTGTTGATTGGATGAGTAGAAAGTCAATGAGGGAGATTTTAATTCCATGTGATTGGTTGATTTACACTACGAATTGGGGTTAATCTTGGTAGGTTTGGGATTGTATTTTTGTTCAGAGATGTGTGCTTTTTCTCCATGTAAATAAAGTATATTACATGAAGTAGCCTCCTTTCCCTGGCAAGCCTTCTATATTAACTAGAACCAAGCCCCACAGAAGGGATTAGAAGGACACCTGCTAGGAAGGCTTGTATCTTGCACCTTAGTCAGAGACATATGGTGTGGGCTGCTGTTGGAGACAAGATACCAGACTAGCTGGATCTCAGGTCTGACCACTATAAGTAATTTCTATGAAAAATAGGTTTGGTTGGTTCTTAAAAGCCTCCCAAACCCACATTTAAAATTTTTTCTACGTCAAAACTACATCAAGTACATGAGCCGCTAAATGACCAAATAGAAATTTGAGGGAGGCCTGAACTGAAAGGACTTCCTCATGGGCTCATCCTTCCACAGCGCTACTGAAATCATGGGGCTCCGTATAGGCCTAAGGGTCTGTGAGCACAGAGCTCATGGTAGGACTGAAGCTTGAACTCCCAGAATTCCCGCTTCAGGTTTTGGGGAAGCTGACAGCTGGATCAGAATTCTGTTCCGAATATAGAAATCTAGGTCATGTATTGTTGAGAATTTTTCCATTGTGAGGTTTGTTGTGTCCAGGGCCATTCTTGGGTATTTTGTTGCATAATGAAAAGGAGAGAGAAATAGGGGCCATCTACTTTGTTTTCATCTGACAATAATCCAAGTTTGGAAACTGGTGTTTATTAGCAAGCCACCAGATGGCACTATTATAGAAAGTATGTACAGTCTGGTTTAGCTGAAAAACTTGTATATGTAGTCTGAGGGAAATTCAGTGCTGGCAAAGTAACGTTTTTTAGGTGCACTGCAGCATATACAGTAAAACTCCAATAGTCCAGCATCCAGTTGTCCAGCACTCCTGATAGTCCGGCATCAACTGGAACCCAGAACTTTTCAGGTCAGCCACTCTCACAGCCGGGCCACTGTGAGCTGCATGCGTGCTCATGGCCCGCACCTTTCCGCTCACGGTCCCCAATGTGCACAGTGACCAGCCTGCATGTGCTAGCAGCCGACTGCTGAGCACAGGCAGCTGCTTTGGGACCTGGACATAAGGTTAGGGGAGAAGAGGGATTGGGTGACAGCAGGGAGGGGAGATTTTTGGCTCTGGGGAAGGGAAGGAGAAGGGAGGGGGATTGAGTCGGCACAGCGTCTTGGCCAGCTCATTGAAAAGCCGGCCGTTCAGCGCACGTGACCCAGTGCCTGGAGGGAGACACATGGCTGTACTGGCGACTCCAGGACCTGATCACCCAGTGCCTGGAAGGAGACACGTGGCTGTACTGGCGACTCCAGGACCTGATCATAAGATGGGGGGCAGAGGGATTGGGTTGCGAGTATGCCCCCTTATAGTACCTCCTGGTACTCCGGCATATCCGATAATCCAGCACCACCTAGGTCCCAAAGATGCTGGATTATCGGAAGTGTACTGTACCATTAAAACTGTCATATCCCCATGGTATATAGACACTGTCCACAATAATGCAGAAACTTTTATGCCTGTGTTAACCCCAAAATACCTGCACTTGTATTTGCAAGAAATTTGCACATATATAATCTTCATAACTACAACGTTGGGGGTCCGTTTGTGGCAGGTCTGGAATTATGCAGTTTATTTCTATTTTACTGGAAAACTTAATATGGATACTAGTGGAAGGTAATCAACATCTGCCCATGACACTATTGTTAAGATCACTTTTCAGAGTAGAACTGTACTGCAAGCAGCTAGACAGCTGCCCTCAGTAATGCATCTTCCTCAGAAACTGCTACTGCCGCTGCTTTTCGTTATGACTGTAGTTATTATTTGTAGTGTTTGTTGCTTATTAAGGCACCAGATATTTGTAAGGTAGTTCTGTAGGTTAGTAACATGCACAGAGGGTAAAATTTAACCCAGAAGCCTGTGTAGTGGTTCTCCTTCCCCACCTCCCATGGAGGCTGGCTTTGGCCCCACTGATGCCCCCAGAAATGTTCCTCCATGTCCCACAGTTTGGGGACTGCTTCACTAGATAGTCTCTGCTATTTTATCCTGTTAAACCTCAGTCTTCAAGTAAAAAACTACTGTTGAGTTCAAAGACATTCTTTCCCATTGTCTGTCATGTCTAGGTGCATTTTAATTCATTTGGACTCTTCCAAATAAGTCTGTCATTGACCAGCATCAGAGTTATGGTTTCCAGGCATCTGGTTTTTGACTGGAACACTAGGTTGAAAAAGGACCTTGGCAGCCTGTTTGGCACCTGCAGACTGGGCTGTTCAAAATGTAGTTGGTGGTGCAGCATGGGCCTGGCATTAACACAAGCTGCCTACCTGCCCTACTTCCAGTGTCTCCCAAAAAAGGCTGCAGAGAGGCTCAGCACACTACCACTACCCCAGTGCCATTTCCACAGCTTCTTCTGGCTGAGAACTGTAACCCAGGGGAGCTGTGAATGTGGCACTAGTGGGTGAGAGGGCAGTGTGTAAAGCCTCCAGGGCTGCAGAGATCTAATGGTCACTTCCTGAAGCTGTGGTAAGTGCCATCAGCACCATACTCCCCTCCTGTGTCCCTGCCCCAGACATGAGCCCCTTCCTGCACCCCAGACCCTTCATCCTTGGCCTTGTCCCAGAGCCCCCACTTCCATCCAAAGCCGAATCCTTCTCCTGCACCCCAGCCTGGAGAAAGTGAGGGTGGGGGGGGGGCAACAATCAATGGAGGAAGGGGGTATGGAGCAAGTGGGGTGTAGACGCAGGGTAGGATGGGGCAGGACTTTCGTGAAGGGGTAAGACCACAGGGATGGTGGGTTTGGTTTTGTGCAATTTAATAGTTGGCAAACTGGGGCCAAGTCTACACTGGCAAGTTACTGTGCAGTAAACCAGCTTCCAGCACTGTAACTTCTGAGGTGCCCACACTGGCAAGGCACTTATTGCACACAAACTCTGCAGTTGCTGCACGCTAGGTCAGGGTATGTCTACACTACCACCCTAGTCCGAACTAGGGTGGTTAATGTAGGCAACCGAAGTTGCAAATGAAGCCCAGGATTTAAATATCCCGGGCTTCATTTGCATCTTGCCGGGCGCCGCCATTTTTAAATCGCCGGTAGTTCGGACTCTGTGCCCGTGGCTACATGCGGTACGGAGTAGGTAGTTCGAATTAGGCTTGCTAATTCGAACTACCATTACTCTTCATGGAAGTCATGAGATCAACATTTAGTTTAATTGCACATATTTAAAAACAAAAATCACATTAATTAATTTTTTTTTAAGTCACAAAATTTTACTGTAATGGAAATTTCTCGCAGAAGCCTTATTTTCACTTCATGGAACCCCGAGATTCCACGGAACACCATTTGGGAAACACTGCTCTAGGTAAACCTGCTCCACAAGAAGCTTAGAGTTTGCTGCTCTCTGGAAATGGTGCTTGGGGGGTAGGCAATGTGGACACTTGAACTGATTGCTGTTTCCTGACTGGCCTCTGGAAATGGTTCATAATCTCTCAAATCCTATCGTTCTTTGTGGAGCTCCTCAGTTTGCCCTGCTGGCATGCGCATATCCCCTTTCAGAGCTCCATTTCTGGACAGTCTGCATGCTGCGCTGATTTGCTCCAGGACACAGAGCAAACCATTCGAATGAAATGCTTGCTCACACTGTTGAACACAGAGGCAGGCATCTGTTTGTGTGAGGAGACACAGAGGCTGTGCAAAGAGCGGGGGAGGGAGGCAGGGGGACTGAGGTCAGGGCTCCCCCCCCCTTTGCCTCAGGAGGGGGTGTTTCCTGCCACTGTGTGAACTTACAAATTATCATGCTGACATCCCCTAAAACACAGTGTCCCCCTCTCCTGTGTATGTAATATATATATATATATATACACACACACACTTACTGTCACGCTCTTGCCCGACTTCTGTTGAATAGCAGCTGTCAATTTAGCAAAAAGACCATGGAGCAATGGGACTGGGAAACCTGCATCATATGACACTGACTTCTTCATGTGGCATTGTAAGCCCTTCCCAAAGCACCTAGCAGCCATCTGCACAGTGGGATAGCTACCACAATGCGCTGTCTTCTGCAAAAGCTGTTACTGTGGACATGCTCTGCCATCACAAGGAGCACAGCGTGGACACACAACAGCAGTTTCCCTGCAACTCTCTGTGAGCAGCTCTGTAACTACCAGTGCTTTCCATCTGCCAGTAGCCCTAGTCAGAGTCAAGACACTAGACTAGCTGAACTGGACTGTTCCAATATGGCAGTTCTTATTGTCTAATGGCTTTGTGGGATTATTGCACAACTTAAAGCAACTGTAATTAATTGAGAAATAAAAACAGGGTAAATGGGGAACATTAAACACTTTCATTCAGAAGTCTTGCAAATGGTGCTCCTAGCTGACCAATTCCTTTTTTGACATGACCTTTTTCCAGTTCCTATTTTGACACGACCTTTGCTTTCCCTTCCCTGTTTCATGCAAAGTGCTTCCAGTTTCCAAGGTGGTCAGGACAACTTTATGGAAATGGACCTGGCATTCTTGACAGAGATACAAGCCCTTTCAGCAGGGATTTCAGAGACCTCAGAGAAAGCTGCTGCTTTACAGAAGCTGTGGGAAGAAGAATCAAAGGTCTCAGGTAAGTCCTCCTCTTTAATAATCAGCTGATGTGTTTACCAAGCGCTTAGTGAAAGCCACTGAAAAAGACAAAGCTTCCTTTCGTGATAAAAAACATCAGTGTTTTAACTAAGACATTGATCTAATGTTCTGCCATTGTTATGATTCCGACTGTTCAGCGGCGTTCTTTATTTTACAGAGCCCAGAATTGTGCTAGATCAATGGTCCACACCGCGGTGCCCGTGGGCACCATGGCGCCTGTCGGGGCATTTATGTGCGCCCGCCAAGTGATCAGGGCCATCCCAAGTCATTCTTGTGGCCCGGGCTCTGGGTGCACGACGCACGCGCGGCTCCTGCCCCAGGCGTACATGCGCGGCCCCTCCCCTGGATGCGTGGCGCACACACGGCCCCACCCCTGAATGCGTGGCAGCCCCAAAAGGTTGGGTACCACTGTTAGATGTTCCACAGACACATAGATGCCCCCCTCCCATCAATTTAGAATTTAAATATTAAACCTAGCAAAACCATTGTGGGTGATAAATAGCAGGGAAGTAGTTGAGAGAGGAATATGATGAGTGGGGCTGGAGAAAGATCAGGTTTCAGGAGTAGACCTAGTTTGGTGCGACACCTGGCACAGAGGCACACAGACTTTGTGGCCTGGCTACTATTGGTCCAGCAAATCTCAGGGTATGATCTGTTGCAGACCATAGAAGTGATCCAGTCCTAGACTCCCTTAGTGCTTATGCTTCACCCCGTGAATATATTGCAAAAATTGAGATATTCAGACACTGGCCTGAAGAAGGGGTTGGTACAGAATCACACCAGCCTATAGGGAGCATAGAAAGGGATAGCACACAGGGGAGAGAGGGCCTGTCTCAGTCTTGCTCTAAAGCAGTGGTTCTCAAACTTTTTGGCCTGTGGCCCACCCCGCTTAATGCAATCCTTTTTGTGAACACCAGCCAACCACCCCTGATGATAAAATGGGTGCCAAAGGGGTTGGGGATGCAAGGTCTGTGTGGGAGGCAGGGTGCAGGAGTGGGTTGGGGGTGCAGGGTTTTGGCAGTGTGTGAGGAAATTGGGGGCTCTTACCTGGCTTTGCATCCCCTGCTGCTTCCAGCCACTGCCTCCTGCTGCTCCCATTGGCAGAATTCTAACCAGTGGGAGCAGCAGGAAAAGCCTCCAGGTTCCCTGTAGGAAACCACAGCATACAGTGTTGCTTCCTTTTCCTGCAAGCCTACAAGGTTTGGGGCTTCCACTCCTGCATCGGGAAGCCAGCGCTGGTGCTCCAGCCTCATGGGTTGGGGAGCACGGGGCTAGAGTGCCAGCATGTGGTCCCTGCTGTGGAGGGGGATGCCTGAGTCCATGGTCCACCTGCAAGATGATTGTTAACCACTCATAGACTTAGACCACACTTGGAGAAACACTGCTCTAAAGAAGTAGTGACTTCCAGGTACATGCCTCCAGGTGCACACAAAGAAACCTTGCAGACTGGCTGTCCTGTCAGATCTACCACCAGCACCCTCCATTTCCCCCAGTCATTTGCATTTGACTGTGCTTCCCTACCTCCACTCTGCTGTGTTTCCTCTGAAACAGAATGGGATTTAGCCTGTTATATTGTGTAAAATACCCTGCACTCTTTGGTAATGCAACGAATGGTTAGGGATGGCGTGATCAGTGGTGCCTGAAACAATATTGTGCCTTACCACTGAATATCATCCCCGGTAATTCATTTATTTAAAACTGACTATATAATGATATCTGTAAATATTAGGGAGTACAAAAGGTTACCTGATCACCAGTTCTGTAGTACACTGCTTCTTTTGTGTCCTTTGTCGCGTAACAAAATTTAATGTATTAAGTGTTCATTCATTGTGTATAGTAGTGATATTTCTGCAGTGAATAATAATGTAAATGTATGAAAAAGGAAAACTTCTTCTTATTTTTACAGGGTTCACCGACAGTTCCATTTTCTCAACCGTAAGTCATTTTTGTGTGTGTGGAAAGTTACAATTTCAGGCTTAGCAATAATGGATGGATTTTTTTTCTTTCAAGTTTTAATAAAGCATGCTATAGAAAGTAGAGTGTTGCTTAGAGTACAGTGATTCAGGGACCTAAAATAGAGGGCCATTGATTGCTATATCCTTGGTTTGACTCCAGTCTGTATTATTAGTGGCTAAAAGCCTGCCTCGTCTGAAGACTGCTGATGTAACTAGAGATTTTAAAAAGTGCATTAGGGTACTCTGAATATGTGTACAAAACATATAAAAGCACAATATAAAACACCTTAAAAGGACTCAGCTCTATGTACTGAGAATTGATTATTTTTACAGCATCTAAAAGGTAATAGACACTTCCCAGCACAAGGAAGAGAAAGGTGGTAGCTGCCTAGAAGAAATTGCACCCTAATTCTAGATGGGATGTAGTGAGGAAGAGTGGAGATGGAGTGAAGCAGAACTAGCATTGTGTGATTTAGTTGAAAAATTCCTCCCAGGACTCTTGTGACAGTCTGTGAGAAAAGGGTTGGCTGTTTGTCCAGCCCCTACTGGATAAATCACCCACCAACATAACAGTTGGACTTTCAATAGAAAGTCCAAGGCTGAATGGGCACCGACTTCGATCTCCAGTACTGTCAATTCTGCATCCTCCACAAATCATTACCTTCATTTAAAGAAAATGAAAGAGTGGATTCTCTCCATAGTTTTTAAGTGACTCTTTCTGACTCTTCATGAAACCTAAATCTCTAATTCATAACCTGGGATTAGACACCATTTAATGTATTATTTGTAATTTGCTCTTGAGAACCTGGATTCAAAGAAGTTGCATGAAGTTTTCTTTCTGATACTGAATAGAAAATAAAAATAAAAAATGTTGTTCACCCCCATTTTAAAAAGAAAAATGCCAATGTTCTTTAGGTGATTTGGCCTTGAGGGTTTTATATTTTTATTAAAAATGATAAACTGGAGTCTTGTTTGTGTTGGTTAGTATTTATGCAAAGGCGTCCTGTTAAAGTACTCACCAAGATGATGACATAAGCTAGGGATTAGAATAGCTTGCTTGTTTTTTTTTTTTACAGATTCATTTGAAAGAACGATCCAGACAAATAGATCTTCCCAGTCACAGTCATTTCAACAGAAATTAGTCTATCCCCTCAAGCCACTTCTTGTCTGTTTGCATGAAAGGCTTTCCTGGGGAGGTGTAAAATCGGTCAGGCATACATACAAGGTTCATGATAGCACTCCTCTTCATCCCTTGCAGACTAGTCGTGATTATTCTCAAGACCCTGCAGTTTTGTTTTGTGATGGCCAAGCTATTCATCTTTCAGATTTCAGAATGAATCCATGTCTTAGGGAGGGGCATGTCCTGTACACATGAGCAGTAGAAGAGGAAAGGGCTGGTTAGGATTTTTTGTATAACTCCGTTTCCTCACAAGAGAGGACATATAGCAGAGTTACAAACACTATGGCTACAGGGTTTTTGCACGAAAACCCACGGAGCGTCTGCATCTCGAGCGCATTTTTGTGCAAGAAAATCTAGTCAATCGACCAAACAGAGGGCTTTTTGCGTTGTAGGTATATCTCCTCCTATGAGGCATAACTCCTTTTTGTGCAAGTGTTCTTGCACAAAAAGGTGTGTGTGTGGACACTCAACAGGGGTTTCTTGTGCAAAAAGAGCCTATCACAAAAAGCATTGTGCTCTGATGGCCATTCTGTGAATGGCCATCAGAACTATCTTGCACAAGAGTGTCCATGCAGTGCGGATGCTCTCTTGCGCAAAAGCACATTGCTTTTGCAATGTGCTTTTGAGGTGTGGACGCAATTTTGTGCAAGAACTTTTTGTGCAAGAATTATTCTGCAAAAAACTTCTTGCGCAAAAACCCTGCAGTGTAAACAAAGCCCATGAGTTGAAAAATGAGTGTATTCATTTTGGTGGTGATGTTCATTAATGCAACAGTACCTATCTATGGGTGGGGAAGAGGAGGCAGAAGACATCTGCTGTATTCTTCTCCCCACCCCCAATGAAATAATTGGGTCACATTTAACACACTTTTCTTAAAAATCAAGATGAATTTGAATGAAACTGAGGAGATGATTTCTGCATCTGAAAGCCTCCACGACCAACCTGATTTCTGGAACTTTCTGCATGTCCTACCACGGTTGCAGGCAAGCAACCTTTACAAAGAAGATGGAATACATGCTACAGCTCAGTTTCTGCAGACTATTAAAAAGTAAGTACAAAAATTCGGGTAATGTATTAAGAACTATTTGTGTTTTCTTTTGTTTCCATAGATCGATGTTTTTATTTAATTCATTGTTCTTCCCGTTTATATAATCAATAGCAAGATATAGGTTGGGATTGTCAGTGTTGGTCTCTCTTTGCTTGCATTACAGTCAATGAGAGCTTGACAGGTGACTCCAGTAGGAACAGAGACCAACACTTGCTCAGAAACCAACTCTGGGCCCTATTGCCACCTGATCTATTGATTGTGTTTTAATTATACTGATTGCTTAAGAACTGCAAATTGCTTATGAAAAATTGAGGCAGAATTCTGGACTGTCATCTTTTCTGTGCCGATCAGGAAGTGCACAACAGAATCTAGCCCATAGGGACTGTAGTACAAAATTTTCTAACACTCATTATCTCATGGTATCTCCTAGTCCAAACACCTGCCCCTCCAAGTTTGCAGGCGAACTATTTTTTTTAGCAAAGTACATCAACAGCTGATCAAATAAAAAAAAAAAATGGATTTTCATTGCGTAACAGCCAGAGGGTGGAAGAAGCTATAAGAAGAGCAAAGTATATCAACAGCTGATCAAATTTAAAAAAATGGATTTTCATTGTGTAACGGCCAGAGGGTGGAAGAAGCTATAAGAAGTGTCACACAACATTTTGATGTGGATTCAATAAAAGTATCATATAATTAAATTTGTAGTGATATTAACTTCACAATTGAGTTGGTCAAAACTGGTATGTCTGAGAAATTGAGAGAAAAACAAAACAAATTATTTTGATGTAGGCAGTGTTGTAATCATGCTGATCCCAGGATATTAGAGGCGCAAGTTAGGTGAAGTAACATCTTGTATTGGACAAACTTCTGTTGGTGAGAGAGACAAACTTTTGAGCTATCCAGAGCTGCTCTTCAGGTCTGGGACATACAGTGAAAATGTCCCAGCTAAATATAAGGTTGTTTGCATAAATAGTTAACACGTATTTCAAGGCACCATTCAAGGTAAAGTGACCCATTTAGCATTCCCTTTCCCTCCCTCTGACTGGAGAGGTGTTAAACCAGGTTGTAGATTGTTGTAATAAGCCATAAATCTAGTGTTTCTAGTCAGTCCATGAATTTTAGTGTCCAGCAAAGTTATTAATTTAATCACTCAGGCTCATCTTTTGAAGGTGTTGTGGCAGGTTTTGCAAGATAATTGACAACCCCTAGATCTCCACCCCAAACCATCACCAAACTCATCTAAAACTGCATAAAGCAGAGCATTTCACAAACAACTCGATTTTTTGACAAAAAGTTGTTTCATCTGGCTCTACTTCACAATCCTTCCACTGCTTCCTCCAAAGAGAGTGTGTGTGTGTCTAATCTAACTATGCTTTGACAAGTGCATGTTTTTTCACTTTTGCATACAGTTCCTTCGCATCCCTGGAAGATTTAGATTTGGTTCCATCCACCCACATTTTCTACAAAGCAATGAATATGGGACTGAATATAACCATTACAGCACTGCGCTTGTTAGAAGACTGGAGCCTTGAAGGTAAATGAAAGCTGTGTGTGAATATTTGCTTGTTCTTCATTCATGGACTGAATTTGAAAGAGAAGGAGCCATTGGGAGGCTTCCTCTTGTGTAACCAGCGAGGCAAGATCCCACTTAGAGGGTAAGAGATGTGCGCTCCCAGGAGGCATACATAGTCTGTTCTTTAGGGCCGTGTCCAGACTCACCCTCTTACATCCATCCAGGCTCCATTCAGGAAAAAAAAGGTGGAAATCCCATTATTGAAATCATTGAGGTCTCATGGGACTTGAATGCAAGTTCAAACTTGCACTCAAGTGTTTTCTTGAACCATGGCCATTGCACAGCAAGCACTAGGCGAGCAAAAACTTCATCTGAGCAGGAAGCAGTGCATTATTTGGATTCATCCCTCACTGCTTTGGCCTACAAATGCAGGCTAGTGTTTGTGCTAGTTGAATGACTGACACCACTCTGTTTTTCTCCCACTTCTGGCTCCCCAGGGTAAGGTCAGGATTGTGATTGATTGGCAGAGCTGTATGAGGACAAACAAGTATTATTCGCTCTCCCTAGGTGAAACAGCCCACTCTGTACAGAAAAGCAGCCTAAGGCCCATATTGACTCTTACATCCCACATATACCACCAAGGGGTACTTAGGTGGAATGCTGGTTCCCTATATAGGATTGAATTTCACTTAGTTGAACAGGCTGAAATCAATGCTACTGTTTTTCTCTTTCCTGTGCCCTAAACTCTGAAGTGTAGAAAATCCACATCCCAGAGCGTAAAGCCAACGGAAATCCCCATATAGACAGCACTAGGGCAACCTAGCTATGGCTCTTGGGGGGGTGGGGAGGGCTACCTATGCTGATGGAACAATTCTTTCTGTTGGAGCAGGTAGCATCTACAATGAAGAAGGTAGGGGCTACCTATGTTGATGGAACAATTCTTCCTGTTGGAGCAGGTAGCATCTACAATGAAGAATTACAGCTTCAGTAGTGTAGTGGTGCCACTCTAGAGCTTTAAGTGTAGACAAGCCCTAAATCAGGATTTTAAGAGCGAAAATGTGGTACACAATCTGATACCCCAGAGTGCAGACATTGCATCTTCATTGAAATCTATTAGCACAATACAGTTCATTTACCCCTGAGTGATCTTTCATTTCAGCCCAGTTGCACACAGTTTCAATACTGCATGCTGAATTACACATGCTAATTCAGATAAACGACATGCTGCAGGGTCTGTTGTCACTCACTGCATGGGGGGCATCCCATCATCTGCTCGGCTGTTTACATCTGTTTTCAACATATGCCACATTTCAATATGTAACTAATCACTTTTATGCTTGCTTTAGTATGAGAGGCTGACTTCCACATCTGGCTCCATGCCCTAGGTAGGCTGAGCTGAAAGATTCACATGAGAGATGTGGCAATGTGGTTATTAAACTATTGAGATAAAAGTGGAGAAGTCGGTGTCTGTGATCTGTCTATCTAGGTGCTGTTTGAATACTGGAGTGAAAGGTGTTGGAAATAACTAAGATAGAAAAGTAGATTCTTGAAAGCTGGCTCTGACTTTGTTTGCAATTTCCTTTATTACTTAGTGCGAAGGACCTGGTAAATTATGGTCTTAAACCAGCTTAATCCTTCTCTCCGGTAGATAGCACTGTTAAATTATACAAGGAAGTCAAATCGTAAGTGTAACGGTGTCCAGCAAAGTTAAAAACATTTTTCCTTTTTAACTGAAATAATGTTGAGAAGACGAGAATGGAAAAGTGGAAAGAATCTAAGCGCAAGTGTTGTTCTAATGACTAGATTAGGGTGTATATAGATTTGAAAGGTACATAAAAAGCTTATTGGAAATGTTTAGAGATTGTGTACTGCTCAATCTGGCTAGATTCAGATGTAGGACACAGTGTGAAGACATCAGGACAGACTCAATATGAAGGTTGCACAAAATATCAATTGAGTAAGAAACTTAAAATGCTGTGGGATTTATCCCGTTAGTTTAAATAAATTTCTGTAACCTCAGTTTCAAGATTCTCTGGTTCCAAGTAAATAACTTTGAATGAGAAAAGAGAAGAGGTGTCATGTTTGCCTGGAACCTAGATAACTTTGAGACTAAAATGAATCCTGTCACTAAGAGTACGTCTAGACTGTGTTGGTACTTCAGGTATCCCGAAATACCTCAGAATAGAAATGCCACGTGTTTAAAAGTGCCTGCTATTTCCGAAATAGCGGGTGTGGTATTCTGGCATCCCTGTAACCCTTGTTCCTTGAGGGTTAAGGGATTTGTTGGAATAGTGCCTTATTTTGAAATTTGGCACTGTCTACACAGTGCCAAATTTCAAAAAAAGCTCTTTCAACTTAAGCTTGGAATAAGCTACACAATTGCAAAGCGTAAATTGCAAAGCGTAAATTGCATAGCTTATTCTGACAGAAGGGTGCTGCCTAGATGCACCCTAAAATGATGGATATTTGAGAAATATTTTCCTCTAGATTTATATCCTGCAGTCTTGCATAAACTATGCTTTACTTAGGCGTATAAAAACCTGTGACATTTCCAAGCTTATGAGAGAATGTTGATTAAACACACTTGCGTTGATTTGTCTGTACTTATTGACTCTGTAAATGGGGGTGAATTAGTTATTTGGGCTCAAAGATAATTGACAGTAAACTAGTGCATTCCAAAGCATACAGTGGATCCCTGTTTGTTTCTTATCTGAAGTAGCATCTATGAACACATTTTTGGTAGGCATGAATGTTGGTAGGTTGAAATGTTCAAAGCCAGTCAATCTTGGCACAACTCTGCTTCTTCAGAAGTCACCATGACACAACACATTTTTGGTAGGCATGAATGTTTACTATAGGTTGAAATGTTCAAAGCCAGTCAATCTTGGCACAACTCTGCTTCTTCAGAAGTCACCATGACTTCATTGGAAGCAGAGTTAGGCCATTGTAGAATACTTTTGAAAATTTGAGACTTTTTTGTTCTTATAATAAAAAACAGTTTCCATCCAAAATAATGAGGTACTCACAATAGAGGTAACCATTATTTTAAATCTAAGTTGAATGAAAATTATGAATAGTTCAAAAATATGAGGTCTGGCATCCTGGAGGACTGGTCATAAGTCATGAATACTATCCCAACCCTTCTTGGATAATGTAACAGCTCTGCATGATGTGTTTTTACTATTTGAGAAGAATCTTCTATACTGGCAAAATGGTATTGGCTACTAATACAATAGATCAATATTCAATAGATATAGTATTGGCTATGTACTGTTAGACTAACTCCACTCACAAGATTTCTAGTGAAATTGTGAGCATTCACTTTTTCTGTTTCCAGTGTGTATGCACATGCTCACATCTTAGTCTCTCTCTCATAAAAAGGTGACTGTCACATCTGGATCTTATCATAGATCGTGTAATAGAAAGGTAAATCCACAAAACTTAGGACATTTATAAGTTAATCTTTTCTTGAGATTTCTAGTGAAATAGTGAGCATTCACTTTTTCTGTCTCCAGTGTGTAGGACATTTATAAGTTAATCTTTTCTTATAGGTCTTCATTACAACTTGACTCTTTGGGATCTGGTGTGGGATCCGCATGCAGTCAAAATGGAGCTTGAATCCAGATTTGGTTTAGATGATCTTCATATTGGAAAAATCTTGAACTATACCGCAGAATTAAATAAGGTAAATTTCTAAAAATGTCAACGGTCCTTTTTTGGTTTGTGTATATTTCATTTGTAACTAATAAGAGCAGTTGATGCCTATAGACACTAAAGCAGTATCTTTTGGGGGTAGTTGCTTAGCAGGCTTTGCCATGGAATAAAAGACAGCATAGTTTTATACTGGGTGAATCACACCAGACCTACATCAGTTTACAGCAGGGGTGGGCAATAATTTTTGGCAGGGGTCCGCTTCAAGATTTTGAAAAGTGTTTGAGGGCCACACTCTTCCAGGATATTAATGGAGGAATTCCAGGGTGTGGGATGGTGGTTGGGTGCAGAAGGGAGCTTGTGGTAAGGGATTGGGATGAAAGAGGGAGAATGGGTTCTGGGAAGGAGGCAGTTTGACTTAGGGCAGGAGACTGGGATGCAGGATTTTGGGGTGTGACTTAGGATAGGAGGGGATTGTGATCTGGGGCAGGAGACTGGGGTGCCAGATCTGGGAGGGGTGCCAGATCTGAGGTGCAGGAGGGGGCCGAGGGTTGGGGAAGGGAGAGACTGGGGTGCCAGAGGCGGGCTCTGGCTGGGAGGTGCTTACCTGCAGGAACTTGAGGCAGACTGCTGCAGGCTGCTCCAGGTGTCTCCACTCCGGGCATAAGATGGAGGGGGCATTGAGGAGGAAAAGAAAGGCTTCCTACGCTGCCCCTGCACCCAGCAAAAATTCTCAGCTCTTATTGGCTGGAAACTGAGAGATTGGCCAATGGCAGCTAAGAGACTTTGCTGGGGGATGGGAACAGCATGAGAAGTCTCCCTCCTCTAGCCCCAACCATCCGGAACAGAGAACAACTGGCTTTTTAAAGTGTGAGCTGTTCTCTGCCTAAGGGTTCCAGCTTTTCTTGTGGGGAGGGGAGCAGCAGTGTGTGTACTTCCCCAGAAGCTGGATGCAGTATAGAGACTGGGGGTTGCCCCCTTCCCCACGGGGGGTGGGGAGGGGAGGTTCTGGATTGCTAGCACAAGCTGGGGTCAGGGTGGTTCAGGGTTTGTGTGTTCAGGGAAATGGGCAAGGCAGGGCCGGGTGGGTGACCCTGCGTGTCCAGATCTGTTGGGGGTGGGATCCCATGGGGGCACCTCACCTGCCTGCCAGGGACCCAGGGGCCAACGCAGCTTTGGGGTAGGGGGACCACCCATGTGTTTTCCACTGTTACTCAGCCACAGAGCTATAATCCAGGCAGCACTCACCCTCTTGTGCAGTAATTCTCAAACTTTTTGGTCCGTGGACCACCTAACCCAATAAAAAACTTTCTGTGGATCACCAGTTGCAAAATTACACCCGAGCCATTTTGCTAGAGCTGCAGCTAAGGAGACTAGTTTAATTTAAATTATTACACAGATTAAGTGTTTTAACTTTCTCATGTTAGTTTATCAGATTTCACAGTAGGACTCTCAGGGACACTTCACAGGCTACGAGAGTAGGATTCTCAGGGACACTTCACAGGCTATGAGACAGCCAGGGACTGTGCAGCATTGACACTAGAGCTGGTTATACAGGGGTCTCTCACCTGGTGCAGAGAAGCAGCTGGCCCTGGGGTGGGGGCATGGATCTTCTGCTCAGTGCTGAGATGCAGCCACCTCTGGGGCGGAGCTGTGTAAAAGGAGCTCTGAACAGTTGTTCAGTGGGTCTCAGGAAGAACTGTTGGATGATGCTGACCTCAGTTCCCTGATGTGAAACTAAAGGGGTTGATGTTCTGTCTGCAGCTGGTGGTGGTGATGGGGGGGTATAGTTTGTTAGAGCAGGGGGTGATTTCAGAGAAACAGACTGACTTGGGCATCCTTGTCCTCTCTGAGAACAGGCCAGGCCTGCTCTCTCCTTGCATCAGTCCAGGGCTTTCTTTCTGTCCATCAGTCTGTACCTCTCTCCCTGGCATGGGTCAAGCAGTGAGCAGTCCCCAGGGTCTGCTCCTTTCACAGCCTTGCCTGTGGGGCAGGTCACACTTTACCATGTGCCCCCAGGTCCTATGATCACTGAGCCTGACCCCATCACACCCCAGTCCCCCATTACTGCTTCACCCCAGCCCCCACTTCCCCTGCCCCTGGCTCCCACTCCTCCACCCCTCCCATGGGGGTGGGGGTCCCAGCTCTGTGTGGGGTGGGTCCCTGTGCCATTCATGGTGGGAATAGGGAGCCAGGGCAGCTCTCAGGGGCATCAGGGGTGGCCTCCTCCACCCCATTGCTTCCTTTTTGCCCAGCCTCCCCACTGCCTCATCACCCCCCAACCCTCAACACCCCAGATCCCCCCATGCCCATTTCGCATGGTGGTGGCTATTTGGGGATGTCCCTGGTCCTGGGACTGAGCAGCAGTGGTGCACATGCAGGGCCGGGACCTCAATCTTGTGGCTCTGTGCAGAGTCCCTGTGCTGCCTGGTGGAAACAGGCAGGGAGCTGGGACAGCTCTCGGGGCAACAGGGGAAGACACCCCCAGTCTCCCTCATGCCCGGGGGCTGGGGCAAGCAGAGCAGCAGCAGCGTGCATGTGGGGGTAGGGCCTCAATCCCATGTCGGAGGGCTGTTCTTGCTCGGCATGGGTTCCCTGTGCTGCCTGGTGGGGGTTGGTGGGGAGTGGGGTGGCTTTCAGGGACACTGGGGGTGGACGCGAGTGGGGAGTTGGGTCTGGTTGGGGTTTCCTTCACCTCCCCAACCCTGCGCCCAGAAGCTAGAACTGGTGCTGCAAGCCTCGCAGCTGAGCATGTTCCCGATTGCATGGGGGAAGAGAGGCTGAGCTCCTGCCACAGACTCCACGTGCCACTCAAAATCGGCTCACATGCCACTTAGTGCTGTACATTGCCAACTCCTGTACTATAGACTGATATATTGTATCATGAGCTTTCATGGGCAAAACCCAGTTCTTCAGATGAGATGATCTTGAGTGGAGAAAAAAGGGGGACCCTCAGAATAAGAAGGGAGAGGGAGAAAAAAATTACCTGTGAATTGTCATCCCGGTGCTAATGAGTCTAATCAAGTGGGCTGGAAGAGACCCATACTTAGCTTTTGATGTCAACAGGGTGTTGAATGTAAGGAAAGCTAGTTTTATATAATAACCAGTGAACCAGTTCAAGTCTTTGTGTAAGCCAAGGGAGACGGTGTCAAATTTGCATATAAAGGTCAATTCTGAATTCTCTTTCTCTAATTGGCTTGTGAAATTCCTTTGTAGAAGAATGGCTAATTTCATTACCTACAGCCACCAGCTCAAACCCCTCCAATGCATCAATGACAATCTACAACCTGTCTTGGAAAACGATCTCTCACTTTCACAGGCCTTGGAAGACAGGCCAGTCCTTGCCTACAGAGAACCCCCTAGCCCAGGGGTGGGCAATCAAATGGCAGCAGTTCACCATGATTAGTCCCTGATGGGCTGCTGCTGCTATGCTTTCCAGTGCCTCCGTAGGTATCAGATGATTGCAGCTCTCATTGGCTGTGGAACACCATTTATGGCCAATGCGAGTGGCAGGAAGTGGCATAGACCGGGATGCTGCTTACCACTGCTCACCTTGGCCACAAGCAGTGATTTGTGGCAGTGAGAGCTGTGATCATCCAATACCTGCAGAGATGCAGGTAAACACAGTGTTGGGGGCCTGACAGGGATTAATTCTGCGGAATGGATTTGGCTCACGGGCCAGAATTTGTCCATCCCTGCCCTAACTTGAAGCAAATTCTTTCCAGCAACCTCAGATGCACTCACCCAGGAACCTACCCCTGCAATAAACTGCATTGTCAACTCTGTCCTCACATCTGTACCAGCAGTACCATTACAGGATCTAACCACAGAAGCCACAGCAGAGGCTCATACAACTACACCTCTTCTAATGTGATCTATGCCATCAAGTGCCCCTTTGCCATGTATATTGGCCAAACCCGACAGTCTCTACGAGAAAGGACTAATGGACACAAACCAGATACTCGAAATGGTAACACACAGAAACCAACATGGGAACATTTTAACCTGCCTGGGCACTCATTAATGGGCTTAAAAATAGCTATTATTTTACAAAGGAATTTGTTTTTAAACCTTTTTATAGTTAGAGAGCAAACACTTAAACATTACTTTAGATTAGAACATGGGATACAGATATTATAAGTAAGATGAACACACATATCCCATAAAGTCTAAACACATTCTTATAACTGATAAGATGAACACGCATATCCCATAAAGTCTAAACACATTCTTATAACTCTAATATATATTATAATAAAACTAACAGATATGCAAGCCGTACTGGTTTCCAGCTGTGCATTTATCAGTGTTTAGTGACGCCCATAGGCCTTGATGTGAGCTGGCTCCTGCTCTGTCAGGGTCACAGTGCAAACTCATCATGATATGATATTGGCTCAGAAGAACCCTGAGCTCTGTTACTGCAGTTCTGAAGAGAAGGGAAGGACTAAAGGTTTGGTTCCCATAAACTTTCAGATTAAATCCTGAATTTGAAGCTCTCTACATTCACCGACTGTTAATATTTGTTCATGCACTTTGGACTCTAGCTTCTCTGTTTTCAGAAGAAATGCAAATATAATGCCTTCAAGTTAATTCACTTGCTAATTTATTTGATCCATTTAATGTGATGTAAACTTCAGGGACCAAATAATTGTAATTAAAATAACAGCTCCCCCCTTCGCTGGTATACATTTTGATTGCTTTCGGTGGGTATTGTTTAGTAGTTTAATCTAGGAGGTTGCCACTTAATTAAAGAAGGTTAAAATCCTGAATGAAAGAGAAGAAAATGAGTCCAAAGATGCGCAATAATAAAGATTGACTGACTACAATTCAGTTGCGTTAAACAGACACTGTCAATGTTATAAATGCAGCCATGTATGCCGTGGTCCTGGGTAGACAGTGATAAGAACAGATTTGACTTCAAAAAGAGGACATTTGTTTTTTGTTTGAAATGAACCCGAGTGAAGTGGGTCTACATAGTTTCTGTTCTACTGCCAGACCAGTAAACTGGTGATGAGCAGAGTCCTGTGCAGATACCAAATGTATGTCTGTGGATATAAATCAAATAACCATGGAGCTACGGGGCAGCCATTGACATAAAGCTATTCCTAGCAATGTAAAACTGGTACAGCTGTTAAGTCTACCCCTTGAGCATAAGGGACAAGTTGGTAAGTAAGAGGTGAACAGCAGTTACTGGTGAATCACTGTAACTAGCAGAATTTAGAGCAGCTGAGTGAGACTATGATGTTTGGGCCCTCTATAGGTAAAATAACTGAAAACATTGTCATTACACTGCTAAGTTGGCATCCGTGCTGATTGTGCTTAACCACAGTGGCAAAAGCAGTATGTTGGGCTGTTGCTTGCAGGAGCCAGTGCCCCAGGTGGGCAGCTCGCCCATCATGGTTGTACTGCTCCTTCAGCCTTACCATTGATGTGGACACCAGGGTCACTGGCAGCTATCCCTGGTCACATTAGCATATACAAGCTTAGGCACCTTTTAGAACTGTGTCTACTATGTCTGCATTGCTTTGATACATCAGAATTTCAAACAGCAGATTACAAGATGACAGGATGAGATAGCGTGTACAGAGTGATTTGAAATGGTATTATTAAGAAATAGAGGAATTTTAACTGAGAACGTTTGGCAGCCTTTGCAAGCTGTGAACTACAGTGTATAACAACATTTAAACTAGTAATTAATCCTAAAAAAATCACAGCCTAATACATCACTGCATGCGATGCCTTATTTGCCTCAGTAAATTTTGTAGTCACACTAGTGTAGCTATTCTGATGCAAAAATTCCTGTGGACATATGCTGCACTGGTGTAAAATGGGTCTCATATCTGTATGATTTATTTGGTTTCCAGTTACACAAATGCAAAGTTCCCTGATGTAGAACGGACCAGAAGTGTGCACCACTGTGTAGTGGATAATGAGTTTTTTTGGGTTTTCCTGTCAAAACAGGCAGAGTACATTTGCAGTCTCTATCACAAATCAATAGATTGTGATAATTGGCTTTGTTCTTCCTGAAAACAGCTCAATGGCTCTGTTCTCTCTCCTCCCTCTCCCCCCCCCCCCCCCCCCCCAGTACAAGTAAGTTGATACAGGGGATAATACTGAGTGGCTATCTGACGTGCTTGTCATTTGCTTTTGTCACTGCCAGATTCCCACGGAAGGCACACTGGAGCAGTTTGTGTGCTCAGTCCTGTCCAATGTGTCAGAAGTTGAAGCTCACAAAGTGGATAATGAGGGAGGCTGTATCCCCGCGTGGCTTGAGACCAAAGTCTATCTTGTTCGTTCTGTCAACAAGATCAAACTCTACATGCAGGTATGCTTAAACAGGACAGCTGATAGAATGTGTATTTTGCTTATATATTGTTAGTCAGTCATTAGCCATTCTTGAGCTATATTCAAGACCAGAGGCTGACAGTGTTCTGTTTTTAAAAATGGTATACTGCACAGTTAGCATTGAGTCCTTACAAAGGAAATATAATTGGAAATCTTGTTTGTTTAGCTTTTAGTTAGCCAAAAGGGCAGCCACTGATATAAAAGCGATCCCCAGCAATGTAAAGGTGTTATAGCTGCTAAATCTATCTCCTTAAGCATAAGGGGCAGGTTGGTAAGTAAGAGGCGAATAGCAGTTGCTAGTGAATCACTGTAACTAGCAGAATTTAGAGCAGTTGAGTCAGACCAAGATATTTGGGCCCTCTGTGTGTAGAAGCAGGTAAAATAACTGAAAACATAGTATGTACCCTGCCAAGTGGGCATCCATGCAGATTATACTTAACCTCGGTATGAGTCATTAGAGAAAACTTTCACTGTACATTGTAGCATAAGAGGAAGAAAATCTGGTTAATGTTGTAAAGAATGTCTGTGTTTTTCATAATGGGGAAATCTTCATTCTTATAATAAAGCAAATTTTGTTTCTCCTTTTAATGTGCTAGCTATTTAAGCAGTGGTTAAGCAGCAGCGAGCTCCAAAAATTCTTTTTTGAACTTGGAAGAAGCATGGCTGATCTTGTGTCTCAATATCCAGATGACCATGAAGCCCGGAAAATTATTTCAGCAATAAATATACTTCTGCAACATGTGCATGAGGAATTGGAACCAAAATATTCAGAAGGAAAATCCCAGCACATGTAAGTTTTATATTTCCATTTTCAGTATTTGCTACTGAATATAGCACTATATTGATTTTTACTTGAACAGAACAAGTGTCAACTGTGATAATTTGAGCACAGTACCTTAGTAAACTGTTGGCTCTTACACAGACTCCTCCAATATTTGTAAACAAGCTGTACAAGAATATTAATTTGGGCAAAGAGGATAGAAAAGAAAATGGCTCAGTGAATTTATGCAGAGTCTGATTAGAATAATAGAAATGAAGGTCCCACACTGGATTAAATATAACTAGATCATCCTTGACAGATGGTTTTTGAGCCCTGTTATTGTAACAGGCTGAAAAAGCTACTGATGCTATAATGATTTGATTTTCATAGTCCCATTGGCGTGTCTGGTGTTTTACAGACAACTACTATAACACTGACAAATCCTTGTTCTAGGGAGTTTTAGGACTGAGCTTGTAAGGGAAAGGCCAAATCCTAAGAGCTGTTGAACACCAGCAATTCCCATTGACATTATGGAGAACTTTGGATGTTCAGTATTGGACCAGAATAGAAAAGTGTGGCGGAACAGATATGGGACAAGGAAGTTGGGAGAGAGAGGCCAAGGGGATACAGTGGTAGACTAGAAGAGATAGGAGGGACATGTTGGAAAAAGAGAGAGTTGAAGGATAAGATAAGGAGTAGAGTTTCCCAGTGTGTGATATCCTTATTCTTCCTGAAGGAATTGGCAAGAACCTGTCAGAGCGCTAAGGGAGTGGGGTGGTGGAATAGGCTTAAGGAAGGTAAGTGTCAGAGTTTTGTATGCATCCAATTTAATGAGCTGTTTATCAAGAAAGAAGGCCAAGTTTAAGAATTGCTATGGAAGTCCAGAACAGAGTGTGTATTCAGATTGTCAAAAATATGGAAATTGGAGGGAAGGAATCAAGAGTAGAGGCAGATGAATCTCTGGCAGGTCAATAGGGGGCTCAGCCTACAGGGAAGGCCAGAACACTGACAAATTGTATTTTGTGGAAGGATTGTCTATTACATCTAGGGAGAGAGAGGTATTGAAACATATTTTAAAGTTTAGTTTGATAGCGAAAGAGGTTTTAAACCCTTCATCACACAGGTAAAAGTCCTCACCATTCATTTAATATTTACTTCAAATCCTGGCTGCCAGACAGCTTTTCCTCAGTACTGCTGCCATCCCCGCTTCAGTGTTACCCGTCTTCAGTCTCCTGGCTGTGGTCACTTGACTTGCATTCAGCACTGAGTTGGACAGAGCTGCATTTGCCATTGATCGGTCTCATGTTAAATGTCTGAGTCTTCTGTCAACGATCAAATTAGGGTCAAATCAGGATCTTAACTGGTTAATGAGTATTCACATCTCCACCCCAAATGCTGTTAATGACCCACTTCTATCCTGACTTGATTAGCTTCATTTAACATAAGCAACTTCTTCCTTATATACACCCCTGCTTCTATAACTTCCACTCAAATTCATCTGATGAAGTGGGTTTTACCCACAAAAGCTTGTGCCCTAATAAATCTGTTAGTCTCTGAGGCTACATCTATAGTGCACAGTTATTTTGGAATTAGCTATTCCGGAATAGTTATTCGTAAATAGCTTATTTTGAAATAGCATATCTACACTGCAAGGAAGCCTCAAAATTAGTCCGAGACAGGCTTCCCTAATGTGGATGTGATGTATTGATTTAGAGTCCCAGGAGGAACAACTTAGAATGGCCCTGGTGAAAGGCTATTTCAAAATAGCAGAAGTGGAGCGTCTACACATGCCTCATTTCGAAATAGCTATTTTGGAATAGGCGTTATTCTTTGTGGAATGAGGTTTACATAAGTCAGAATAAGCCATCCGTTATTTTGAAATTATTTTAAAATAATGGAATTTCTGTGTAGATGTTCACATAGTTCTTTCGGAATAACAGCTGTTATTCCGAAATAACTTTGCTATGTAGACACATCCTAAGGTGCCACAGGACTCTTCATTGTTTTTGAGTCCCCTGTGTTATACTTAGGCATCAGCAGTTAGTGCATCAAGACAAACTCTAAGTGAGAACAGTGGTAATTAGCCTAGGTTTCAGGATTGAAGGAGTTTGCCCATGATGACTCCAGGCACCACAACTGCTGCCAATTATATGGTAAATCCTTCAGGCCATCACCAAATTGCTCTTCCATATTATGAAATGTGGCTTCACTGGCTGTTACTTGGGGGAACAGAAACCTTTTGTTAGACAAAGAGAATCTCTCCACTGGATAATTATTTGCATTGTTCCTAAAGTTTTCACAACAAAATTCAAGTGGGATCCCCATAGAAGCTTATTAGGAATTGCTTGCTCGGTCACTTGGTATCCACTGGCACTGGTCTCTTACCATGGAAATATAGAGGTGCCTCTACTGATGGTCCCTTTTGGGACCTCCAGAATGGAAGATAGATCATCCTTCTAATTAAGGTCTTGAAAAAGTGTCAGAGTTAAATCATCCATGTGCCCTGTGTTAATCATCTGTAAATCACTTTTAATCTATGTAAGCAAGCACCTTTGTTTTCAGTTTAAACAATTTTTACTGAAAAATGTCCTAGTTTTACAAAAAGTATTTTTTTCTGATATTTTACCGTACATCTGTATCATTCAAAGATAGAAACATATTTTTAATTTGGAAAATACAGTATATTGCATGAGAGTTACATATCATGTAAACACATTAGACTATGTGCATAGCTGCCTGATGAATAAAGCTATATGTTAATAAAGACACACAATACACAAACAGGCATGCATATAAGCTCTGAAATGCATGCACATCTGAATGTACTGATGATTCGTACTCCTACTATGTACACATTTCAAGTTGTTAACAGATAATTGTTAAAGATCTGACACATTAAAATGGGAAGAACATGAAAAATCAATATTTCTGAATTATGTTTCAAACACAAGGAAGTATTTGAAAGGTTAAGAAAAAAAGCAAGAGAAAAAACATGAAGCTGAATGTATGCACTGCAAATGGTGTGATCCAATTATTAAATGTAAATATTTATAGGTGAGTAGTTCTAAGTCTACAACAGGAAACTGTTTATTCAAATAAACATTTTATTTGAGGATTAGAGATGTATGGTTTTCTTAAACTCAGAGGTGGTATTGTGTTTTGAGTTCTGCTTTAGCTCTGCAGCTAACCATATTCACTTCAGTTAATCAAAGCATTAATCTATTAAATACATTTTCCCCATCCTTCTGATATTTATCCCCCAAAATAAATTTTGTTTTAGTTATTGCAATAAGCAGTAATTATGTTCCAAGAACAATAAAATAAAATAAACTGAAAATGAAGGGCACTATCTATGAGTTTCATAGCTCAATTCCCCAACCTGGCACTTTGAGTGTAGAAATGGGGACCGGCTAACAGAATAAACTCATTAAGAACCTGTCTCTATAACTCCCAGAGACAAACTTGTTTCCCTGAGATCCAGAAAGAAAGACGATCAGCTTGCTACCACCACCAAATGCCAATAAAAATATAAAATAAACCCTTTTCCAGGGAAGAGATCACTTGGAATCTCCTCCTAGAGGCAAAGCTTCCCCTCCTGCCCCAGCCTCCATTTTGCCTGGAGTTGGGAAAACAGAAATAATCTGCAGAGAACAATGGGGCTCTGCTCCTCCCGGGTAACTTAGGCACGTAGGTTTAAGGAGACAAAAATCAACCAATATTAGTTAACCAAAACAAAAAGAAAACACTTTTATTATTAAAACAAGACTACTGTTGCGAGCATAGTAAATGACTGGGTGTAAAAAGCCACCGAGAGAAATAGACTCAGGGAGAATCCCTGGGCTGTAATTCTTAATTACAAACTTGAAAAACAATTAATCAGCTCGGACATGATTTCCAAACCCCCAAACAAGCAAACAGTAAAGCCAGACAGACTATCTAAACGTTTCCCTACTTATACATTTCAAGGAGTCTGTTTCTGGGAGAGACCATGTCTCCTGCTACCTGGGGAAAAACTGCCCTGACGTAAACCAAAGGAAGAGGGGGGGAAAAAACCCTCTCTTTGTTTGAAATTCCCTATCTGCATTTCATTGGCTGAATGCCCAAAGCTCCCTCCCTCAGGTGCATTTCCAGAGTTGCTTAACCTTTTCCTCACTCTCCATGTAAGTTAGACTCACCTTTCCAACTCCTATTCATGACCATGAGGAACTGCTGAGTGCCTGACATTAGTACCACTATTTGAAGTACTATTCCTTTCATTGTGAAAATAATTTTGTGTGTGTACACAGATGAAATCAAATTGTTTTTTATTTTATTCTCTCATGAAATAGCTTCATTATTCTAAATCAGAAGAAGTCAAGAGATGGGTTGCCAGACACTTTGGAATGGACCTCAAAGATATATGGAATCAAGTTCCCTTGGACTTTGTGTAACCTAGGGCAATTCATTGGGGTCTCAGTGCCTTAGTTCTCAATCTGTAAAATGGGACTGCAGATTGAACATTTCTAGTCTGGCTCTCTTGGGACCTTACTGGTGCCAAACCTGAAAATTTGCCGAACCACAGGAGGTCAATATTGCCTAGCAGCATTACCACCACTTCCACTGCTTCCTGGCTCTTAGAAGACATTTAGGGGTAAATTAGAGCTAAATAGCAGCACAAAACACTGAGAGCCAGAACTGGTGGCCGTTAACAAACTTTATGGGACTGTGGGAAACTTGGCCACACTCATGATGCGGTACCTGGCTAACTAAAACCATGCCAGATCACAGATGTTGCTGGACCAGAGAGTGCTGTGCTAGAGATGTTCAACCTGTAACAGTTCTTCCCTACCTACAGGGAAACAAATTCAAGATTATGAGGTACTCAGATACTAAGGTACCTGCTGCTGCTCCTCTTGTCCAGCATATGTGGTTGTGCCCAATATTAGTCAAAGAGGTTTGTGTGTGTGTTTTTAAATAACAAAAGTTAACCACAAACAGACCTCACTCTCAACTCCATATCTTCCTTCCCCAAACTTCAGGTGACACCCAGTTAAGAGTCTCTGGCACTCTAGTTTTGCTCCTTTCTTAGAGCTGCAGTCTTGGGTTTTTTTCCTTGAGCCCTTTGATACAGGGACCCATAAGTAGCATGGTTTTGCTCTCCAGGGTTCTGCCTATCTCAGTCCTTTCTCTCCCCAGCTGCCTCGTAGCATCCCTTTATAGGCCCAGGTGTAGCCCAACCTCTTTAACTAGCTCACATACTTCTGTCCAGGGCAGTTTGGCTCAGGCTAACCAGAGACCAGCTACCTTGTGACAAGGCCATTAAAGAATTGTGAGAGACTTTTCTTCTTTCTCTTTTGACCCAAAAGGTAGATTGCAAAAGTTGTTTTTTTTTTTCTTTTCTTCGCTTATTGTTTCTGAAACTTGTGTATTTGCTAGACCACCACCGAATGTATGGTTCTGTAGCTGGAATGAGGCCATGAGGCAAAGGAATTCATTTTGACATTCACCCGATAAAGCGGTGATTAGCTTGAATAATCACATTAGCATTCCAATTAATCTTCAAGCACTGATTTTTGTTCTGTTTGGGTGTCTTTAGAGGCGTGGTAAGGATTGTTTTTCAGCTGTTAGTTTTAAATGTTTTAGATCAGACCATTATATTGTCTCAAACTATAAATAATCTGAAAATGAA